TTCTAATCAGATCATTCGCTTTCTGTCTGATTCAATTCTTGTTGCTTTCTTCCCGCTTCCAATCTGAAATTCGCAAGCTTGAGCTGGGCGGAATTGGCTGGCATCGACCTTTACGACTCGAGTACAGTGACGACTTTTCGACAGCGCATTCGAATGGGCGTCTAGGAGCCATGTCCTTCAAGTTGATGGTTGTCGCGGCCCTCGCCGGCGGCGCGGGATGGACATACGCGACACAGGATGTCTGGACCAGGGCTTCGTTTCTCCAGGCGGCGGCGGTTCTGCTCGTGACGCAGATGGTGGTGTACGGGATCTACGACGTGTTTCTCTATCCCAAGTGGTTCTCGCCCCTGCGGCATCTGCCCACGGCGCCGGGGAGCCACTGGCTGATGGGCCACGGCTTGAAGATTCTGGCGGATAAGCCTGGCGCGCCGATGAGAGAGTGGTAAGTTGACAATCCGTCTGTCTGTCTGTCTGTCAGCCGAGCATTGAGCGCCGCACAACGGGCGAATGAGTGACAAACATGAGGCTGACTGCGCCGCGTCTGTCAACAACAGGGCCTTGACCATTCCCAACGATGGCCTCATCCGATACTACTGGTTCTTCAACCGCGAGCGTGTGCTCGTCACCTCTCCAAAGGCTCTGGGCGAGGTGCTCACCACAAACAGCTACGCTTTCCAGAAGCCCGAGAACGTCAAGACCTTCCTCGGCCGCATCCTGGGATACGGCGTGCTGGTCGCCGAGGGGGATGAGCACAAGCGCCAGCGGCGCAACCTGATGCCGGCTTTTGCGTTCCGACACATCAAAGACCTGTACCCCGTCTTCTGGGACAAGTCGCGTGAAGTGGTCCAGGCCATGACGCAGGAATGCGGCGCCCGCGGCGAGGCGGAAATGGAGATTGGCGAGTGGGCATCGAGGGTTACGCTCGACATCATCGGCGTCGCGGGCCTGGGCAGGGACTTTAAGGCCATTCAGGACGAGCACAACGATCTCGTCCAGACGTACCAGTTCCTCTTCAAGCCGAAGCCGCCGGCCAAGATCATGGTCCTCCTGGCAGTGCTGGTGCCCACTTGGGTGCTCTACCGACTGCCGCTGGAACGGAACAAGGAGGTCGACAACGCGGCCAAGGTCATCAGGTCCGTGTGCCGGGATCTGATCCGGGAGAAGAAGCAAAAGATGATGGCCAACAAGGAGCGCACCGACGTGGACATTCTCTCCGTCGCCATCGAGAGCGGCCAGTTTACCGACGAGAACCTGGTGGACCAGCTCATGACGTTCCTGGCCGCCGGCCACGAGACGACGGCGACGGCGCTGACCTGGGCCATCTACTTCCTCTGCCGCTCGCCCGAAGTGCAGACGCGGCTGCGCAACGAGGTCCGCGAGAGGCTGCCTTCCCCGGACGACGTCGGCGCCACCATCACGAGCCTCGACATTGACCGCATGCCGTATCTCAACGCGGTGTGCAGCGAGGTCCTGCGGTACTTTAGCCCGGTCCCGATGACGGTGCGCGAGGCCGCCCACGACACCACCATCCAGGGCGTCCGCGTGCCAAAGGGCATCCGCGTCTCGCTGTCGCCCTTTGCCAACAACGTGGACCCCAAGCTCTGGGGCCCGGACGCGGGCGAGTTCAACCCGGACCGCTGGATCTCGGCAGACGGGCTCTCCGATGAGAGCAACCGCAAGGCCGCGAGCGGCGGCGCGGAGAGCAACTATGCCTTTATGACGTTCCTCCACGGGCCGCGCAGCTGCATCGGGGCGAGCTTTGCCAAGGCGGAGTTTGCCTGCCTCTTGGCGGCGTGGATCGGGCGGTTCGAGTTTGAGCTTGTGAATGAGGAGGAGAAGGACCTTGACAAGGTTGATATCAAGGGGGGCGTGACGGCGAGGCCTGCGAATGGCTTGCATGTAAGGACGAGGGTGCTGCCGGGCTACTAATTCAGGGGAGGAGGTGAAGCTGGATACAGGTTGTGTGATGTCGAGAGCTTGCAGTGGCAGGGAGAGCTGCGGAAAAGCGATATGCATGGTTTGTGATGGTGATAGAAGGCGTTCACTTACAAGAGATGGGAATCATGAAAGAGGTGGACATGGGCTGTTGCGAGCTGAGGAATTAACCCACTGTAAACAAACCGACCATGGTAAATCTTGAATAAGTCAGTTTGAAGTTTGTGGCAAGCGGTTCTATTAGTCTTATAGTTGTAACATTTGCTTAAGATAAACTCTAAGATGGGTTGCTTAGTTCAGCACGGATGAGGGCGATTCAAGACGCCACTTGCGCAGTGTGAATGTTGGATGCGAGGATGATTAGGTTGTGTATTACTGAACGCTCAATTCTTGAAAATGTACTGATTTACCTCCTTTGAGATGCCAATTTTTCATTTTTTTTTTCTCTCTCTCTCAAGAGGATACAGCCAGCTGGGACAGGTACGAATGAGACGATATGAGCCTTTCAGCCAGGTATGTGTGTATAGGTGTTAAGGCAGCAAAGGTCCTCGACTTCGGTGGAGTGCAGATAGGAAGCATGCGGGTGCTGGAGGTGATTGAGTCAGGCCTTGGGCATGCATACATGAAGAAACAAGGGCCTTGTCGCTTGCAGGGTGCAGGACGGGAGAGGTACGGCGTCTCTTCCTCACTGCCTCCTAATATCATGGTTTCTCTTCTCTTTTCTAGCATCTTCCTTCGAGGGACATGTGGTCTTCTCTGTTCTGTCTGCATGAGAGAAAGCGTGTGAGTATCGAGGGAGGGATCATCTCGCTTGTACGGAGTATGCCTATTGGTGTTTGGATGAGACAGGGTCTCGCGATGATGCTGATGGGTGAGACTGGGAAGAAGTTGATGTTTGCTCTGCGAGAATGGCATGATATCAGAGGGAAATGGTACTACTAGTAGTACTTCGTACATGCATTGTCGTCGCTGGCGACATTTGTCACACACAGCGACAGAGCCGAGGCATGGTCAATGTATGTATATGTGAATGCATCTGCAGCACTCGCATTGGCATCAGATCCTCTGCCGATTTGAAGGCGCAATGTTACCTATGCAGGGTAAGCCAAGTCGAGCGCAGCCCGTCTCCCTTATTTTGTCGCCCTGCGTTGTCGATAATCCCGATCTGGCGATACACAGACAATATGTACGTAGGTACCTACCTTACACATACACAAGAGACAACCGGAAGACAACATGGACACAGAGTCGCAGTGCCAACTGGCAGCAAAGCGGGGTTTGCAGCGGCGGCGAAGAGAGGGACAGCGGCCAATGTCTGCATCCGAAGCCAATGGCTGCTGCAGGTCGTCGTCGTCGTTGTGGTTGTACAAAGCACGATTTGCCGTGGTCAGACCAGAGAGAGAAGTGAGACAGATGGGGTGGTGGTGGTGGTGGTGGTGGTGGTGCATGTACTTTGCGTGTTACTTTGTCGCCCAACTGGGGGTGAACATTGTGCTGTGCTGTACTTACCTGGTACCAAGATATGTCCTCGTATGAGACAGCAGTGGCAACCCCCCTGTAGCGCCCGAGGGTCTCGAAACGGGCGGCTGTTGGGCGTCTGATTGGCGAGGCCGGGAGAGGGGAGATGCAGATGGGACATGGACGAGTGCATGACAGACAGGGAGGGGGATGGCGAGATGGAGAGGAGGGAGAGGAGCCGCCAGCGCAGCAGATGTGCGACGTTGAGTCAGTACCGGCCAATGGATGCCAAGATGGCAGTGTCAGTGTGTGTATGTGTGCGTGGGTGAAGAGACTTGTTGGAAGGCAGTAATTGGAGCTCGAGCTGCTGCTGCTGCTGCTGAAGAAGAAGAAGAAGAAGAAGAAGAAGAAGAAGAAGAAGAAGAAGAAGAAGAATTGAAGAGGGAAGATCTCGTGTAAGACAGGAACCTAGATACAAGCGAGTGAGGTACTGTACAAATCGGTACAAGTGCAGAGAGAGCATTGACACCAGGCTTCTGATGAAAGCCCACCCCCCACAGAAGGTGCTGTGGTGCTGGAATGCTCAAGCTGATGTACCCAGCCGCCCAGATGCTGCGGGCGAGGTACTTGCGCACATGGAAGCATGTGCACCGCACGTTTGAAGCTCGGAGTCCACTTGGCGCCACCCGGTTGCTGCACCCTCGCGCTTCTGCTCCGTTTTGGGTGTAAAAGTCGAGCTTGGAGGTTGAGTCGTCATTACTATCTGAAGATTGCTGTATCTTGTTTTGTTTCTTGAGGTTGCTGATGATGTATCACCGGGTGTCAATTCAACCAGACAGACGCAGAAAGGACAAGGACATACGGGTACCTGTACCTAAATACTTGCTACGTACCTACCTGAGGTGCGTGGCTGAACAAGCTCGGCAGCTTAGGTACCCCCGGCTCCTTCTCATCAATGTCTTGCCGCCAGATCTAGATAGCAGCACATACCTTAGGTAGTACTACTCCCAGTCTCGCATCTCGATACTAGCGGTAAAACCTCATCCTTTCTTCCCACAAACTCGTCAAACAAACCCGACGTGCCCCCTTTTTTCTGTCGGCCCCAGCTCCTCCTTGTCATCGTTCGTCTGGCTTGCTGGCCAGCTGAAGAAGGCCGCTAAAACCCCATGGCGCCGCCGCCTGATTGGGCCGAGCCGTCAGCCACACCGACCAGCCTGGCCCGGGCCACCATCTTGGGCTCGACGTTGCACCTCTGAATCGCCTTATTCTGGGTAACTCGTACTCCATCTTGCCAGCCATCGAGCCCGTCGCCCAGCCACCGCCTGTCCACGGAGCGGGTCGGGTCGACTGGGGTGCGTGAGCGAGCGAGGATTGGCGTCGTGCTGCGCTGCTAAGCTGTGCTAGTTGGTCGCAGTTCCGTCAGCTCTCGTTTCCCTTGGGGGAAACCAAAACAGTCGAAAAAAACAAACCGGGCTTCGACTCCTTCACACCACCAGATGAACGAGGGAGGGAATTAATCAATATAGAAAAGGCCAAAAAGAAAAGAGGCAGCAGAGAGCAATCTTGCTACCGGCTGAGCGACCGCAACGCCACGCCCGGTCCCCACGATGCCTCATCCCCGCCGCCGGAGCCCGGAGAGCTTCAGGAGGCGGAGGCGCGAGAAGCGACTGTCGCGCGAGGATCCTGCCGGCCTGTACTCGTCGTCGTCGCCCAAGAGCAGCGTCGCGCCCCAACAGACGGCGGGCAGCTACAGCGCCGACAGCCCACGGACACAGCAACAGCAGCAGCCGCTGTACGAGTTTCCGTCCCAGCAGGACAAGTCGCAGCCTCAACCTCAGCTTTACTCCCAATCACAGCTTCCCTCGCAGGCTCTCCCCCAATTCCCGCCACCGGAGCAACAGCCGCGGTTCCAGCCGCCGCCGCCGCTGCACCACCAGCAGACGGCATCGTCGCCGTATCCGTCGCCGCAGCAATACCAGCAGCAATACCCGGCCTCGTTCCCGCACCACACGTCGCTGCCGCCAATGTCGCAGCGCCAGACGCCCTCGCAGGATGTCCTGCCCCGGTCCCGGGCCTCGTCCGGCTCGCTGTCGTCGCCGTCACCGTCGTCCTCGTCGTCCTCGTACATGGAAATCTCCCGACAGTATCCCACCTCCCGCTTCGGCGGCTTCTTCAGCACCTTCATCAAGGCCCCTTCAGAGGTCCGGCGGCGGCGGCGCCGAAGGGGCAGCGGCACCAAGAGGCGACGAGGCGTCTTCTTTGGCGGCGGCAGCAACTCGTCCCACTCGTCCATCAACTCCGACATGGCGTACGGCACGGGCTTCGTCAAGAAGGAAAAGGACCGGTCCACCCGCTACAGCAGCTCCGTTGCGGGCTCTGCCGCGTCCAGCTCGCATCCTCAGCAGCAGCAGCTGCCATACTCGCAATATCCGGCCGCGCTCCCCAACCGGCCATCGCCCAGGCTACCTAATGAGGGGAAGCGCAACAAGACGGATGAGGAGATCATCGCCATTGGTCGCCAGCTATCGGATCTGGCTCGGAGGTCCAACGAGGAGGATCTCCGCCACGCGGGAAAGTCTCGATCCAGCGGACTGGCATCGACTGCCGCCGCCATCAGCGCACTGCGGAAGAGCAGAAAGGAGGCCAAGAAGCGAGGAGGACTTGCCGGCTCCAAGAAGCACCGCAACTCTTCATCCGACGAATCGGACTGGGAGTCGGCTTCGGACGACGACGACTCCTCTTCCGGAAGCTCGTCCAGCGATGACAGTCTTATACACCTGGCCTACGGCGGCGAGGATTCTTCACGTTCCAACGTCGCCTTGTCCGGGAGCGACGCTCACCTCGCTTACGGCGGCGATTCTTCGCTCTCCAACGTCGCCCTGCCCGTCTTCATGGGCGCCGCTGCCGCTGCCGTTGCCACTCCTGTCGCCGACTCCAACCCCTCGCATAGCAGGAAGAGCTCCGTTGTAGATCCTCGGCTCTTCGGCCCATTGAACTCGCTACGTGGGCTGGTGAACACCCCCTGTGGGTTTGGAGACGAACCGCGGCCTACGCCTTCCACGGGCTCGGGCCCCCATCTCTACGATAACGACAGACCGGCCACCGGGGGATCGCAGGCCGACTCCGCCCACCGCCCGGCACCTGTGCCCCTCCAGCAGCCGATTCCCAAGGCCCCGGTCTCTAACAAGGTCTTTGAGGCCGGTAGGCGAGACTCCCGGAATAGCTACCGCCGCCAGCAATCCAATAGCGGAGTTCTTGACCCTACGCTCGGGGGAGGTGTTGCGGCTGCTGCCGCCCTTGCCGCGGCTCGCATGGCCGATCAAAGGGGGCCTTGGAGCGAGGACCGCATTTACCGGGACGACGTCAAGCTTGCTCGGCCGGACCCGGACGAGGACCATTATCAGCGCGATCAGGCCCCCTTTGAGGAGCTGGAGCGACGGCGGGCCAATCCCGAAGTGTATTATAACCGCCGAAACGACGATGTAGACTCCCCTCGGATGGAATCCAACCGCGAAATGCCCGACTACTTTGGCAAGGACTCGCCTGGCCTGGCCAGGGATGGCAGGACCTGGATGGAGCTTCACCCCGAGGAGCGCAAGGAGAGCCTCAAGTATCAAACTACCTATGATGCCCACATGCGAGAGATTGAGACGCGCCAAGCCCAAGAGCGCAGGGATCGACTTCGCAACGCCCAGAGGCAACAGCAGCAACCGCAACAGACCGCTCATGCGACAAAGGCAGGTGACCGGAACGCTGACAAGCCAGCTCAGCCCGCCCCGAAATCCAATGTTGACCCTTTTCAATACCAGGTTGCCGACGATGCTTTCGGCACTCCCCAGTTCAACACGCCCCGCCGGCCGCTGACTCCTGAAATCGTCACCGTTGAGCGTGTTCCCCACTACACCGAGTCCAGGTCTGCCATTGCCTCTGCGCCTTCTCCAGCGCCCTCGACGCTGGTACGACCACCCAATGCCGACATTCGGCTTAGTCGAAAGGACTCCCACGAGCTCGAGAAGGCTGCAGAGGAGAGACAAAGGGGGATCCATACGGAATTTCGAGGCCGAGACCCCCGAGCCGGATACGAGTACGAACAGGAGGAAAGGGAAGCCCGATCTATCCTGGACGAGGCCAAGCACTCCACCATTCCGGTTGCTGCCGTGGCCATTGCCTCTGCCATTGCTGTTGAGGAGGAGCGGTCGCGGGAGCGCAAACGCCGCGAGTACTCGGAAGACGGTTCTCGGGATCGATCCAGGCCTCAAAAGGACGCTGTTCAGGAGGATGCCGACAGGTACTACCGCGAGTCTGTGATTGCCCGCAAGATTGCTTCCGACGAGATTCGCTCTCGCAGCAAGTCCCCTGAGGAATCCGTCGTGGATAAGTGGGAGAACCCGTCCACCAAAGAGTCGTTTGCCATCGTTTCCCCGCCTAGCATGGAAGACAGGGAGCATGACGATGACGAGAACCCTTACGCGCCGCCGAATGCCGATGTCAAGATCGACAACGAGATCTACCCACATGAAAGCGACAGATTCCGGGCCACCAACGGTCTTGATGTCTCTCGGTTCAGGGCCCGCGACGCTTCTCGTGAACGCCCCCTTCTCAACATTGTCCGTCCCACTCCGGTCCCCAGCCCTGATCCCACGTCGGGAGCTGGTGATGCGTTGAAGCAGCCAGCAGAGGTGCCTGCAGCTCAAGAGCTCTCAAACGACTTGGCTGATTCGTCCGAGGATGAAGAGTCTGACCGCAAAGAGGAGGCGGCACACTCCTCGCCCAGCGGCAAGTCCGTCTCTTGGGGCGAAAACTCAACGAAGCGCTTCGTGGTCGAATCCCCCGAGGCTCGAAGCCGTGCCGAATCCCCAAACGAACCGGCTGAGGCGGAGGAGAAACCCAGACCCCGTCTCAGCAAGATTAGCCAATGGGGCAAGATTGCTGCCATGATGGCCGCCGGCACCGCCGAGCCGACCACTGAGCTCGACAGACACACTGTTAAGCGGAGCGGCGATGCCTCTGCCGATGACGACGCTGATGGCGCACCACCTGTTCCTGGCCCTAAGCCGGTCAGCCCCGAGCCGGAACAGACGCCTGGGACATACGCCGACGACCTCGAGTTTGCGGCTACCGTAGCAGCTGGCCTGAAGGAGAGCGGCTTTGACCCCAACATTGTTATTGACGACCCAGCCTTCCGCCGTCGAGAGTCTCGTCCGGGGACGAACGAGACCCCTACGATGGGCCATGCTGTTCCTGAGCGACCATCCGAAGAGCCCGTATCAGTCCCTCCCAAGACAAACGTGCGAGGAGACGAGCCAAGAAGCAGAGAGCAGGAAGATGAGGCAGAGCTCTCTTTGACCGACACAGAAGATGAAGTAGACGAGAAGCCCCAAAAGCAGGAAAAGCTTGATAGGCTTGAGAAATATCTCCAGATGAGGCGGTCCGGCGAAATCAAGCCCCCCTCCCCGCCTCAGGAGGAGTCACGCGAGCCGCCAAAAACTCAAGATCGACCAGTCACCCCTCCCCCAAGAGGCAATGAGCGACGGAACCTACTCGAAAATTTGCTTCAAAAGAGGCAGTCAGGCGAGATTAAACCTCCACGGGAGGTTTTGGAGGCGGTAGAGTCGCGCAACCAGATCAAGGAATCCGAGACGACAGAGCCTGGGACAAGACGCGAGTCGGATGCTGAGCAGCATTCGGAGGCGCCACTTGAACCGGAAGCTCTGGCCGACGCGGATGACAGTGCTTCCGACGCTGCTTCTGTTGACAGACCGAGGAAGAGGAAGAGCAGGATGAAGCGAAGGGATCGCTTGGACGAGGCTTCAACCATCTCTTCTCGCCTTGACGACGACCAATCCAGATTGTCCATACCAGGCGACGAGGGCACTGAGCTCTCAAGAGTCTCGATTCCTGGTGACGAGGCCAGCGATCTCCGTACCGTGTACAGTGTCGAAGACTGGGAGGATTGGGATAGCTCACCAAGGTCCACGCGGAAGTCGCTCGTCGCTTCGGAGCTGTCGACCTCGAGCAGGAGGAGCGCGCGGGGAAAACGTCGAAGCGCTACGGAGAGAGACATTCGCGAAAGCCGTAATGAGCATGACGAACGCGGCGCGAGGCCCGAGTCTCGCGACGACGAAAGGAAACCCAGAAACAGGGAAGCCAGACACTACCAGGATGATGACAATAACAGCGAGAAGCCTGTCGAGAAACCTGCTCCCTCGCGGCAACGCAAGGACTCTGGTAAGAAGTCGAAGTTCTTCTCCGGCATCTTCAAGTCCGGCAGCAAAAACGACAACAGCTCCATCAACGAGAAGGGCGAGTCTTTTTTTGAGCAAGCCGGCACTCTTGGCGCGGGTGCCGGCCTAGCGAGCATTGCTGCGGCCGCAGCAAAGGCCTTGACTCGCTCCAATGCCGCCGATGTCTCCTCGGACCCGGAGAACATCTCGCGAGATCTCCCTGGCTCGAGCCGGGAGGACGAAGAGGATCACTACCCCGTGATTGCTCCCCGAGCGATCGCGATCGATCCACAGTATCGTGATCTGCTCCCTCTACCACCCAGTCTACCAGGTAGTCCCGTAGAGGCTAGCTTTGACGAGCTGCCAAACCTTCCCGACAGTCGTCCTGGGACGCCGGATGAAGATCGAAGTCGGAGATTCGAAAAGACGCATCGCCGGCAACGAAGCAGCCAAGAAAACAGCCTGTCAAACTCCCGCAACAGGTCACACAGCAACACCGCTGTCCCCCTGACGCTTCTCAGGGGTATCGGGTCCAGGCCTTCCAGTCCCGTTACTTACAGGACTCCCCGCACGCCGCCCCGGCCGACATCCTGGGACAGCACCAAAGAATTCATGCCTCTGATGCTCCTTGAGCAAGCTGGCCGTGGATCGAACGACAGAAGCCCGAAAGGTGGAGACTTACCGCCCCTGCCTCCCAGCGAAGCAACGAGTGAAGCCGAAGGGGGAGCCATGTCCGACCAAGAGGAGCACGACAGGGGAAAGCTTTTGCCCGTTCTGCGACCTGAAGACTTCCGAAGCCCCATGCCTCCCAATGACGGGTTCAACCTAGCTGATCGCTCACTCCGGCTCCAAACTCAAATCCCAGCCATGGACCACGCCGTCACTGACGAGGAATCTCAGGGTTCCACGCCAAAAGCGGACGTGACGTACCAGCTGCCCGTCCAGCCTACTGACAACACTCTAGGAGAAGCTGCGGCTGGTTATGACGACCAAGTCCCTGGCCCTCGAACGGCCGGCAACGACATGCATCCATCAACAGACAAGTACGACGAAGCTGTCCCCGTTGAGTCGACGCCTTCGTCGCGCCACTCGGCCAAGACAGTGGATGCTCCAGCCATAGCGAGTCCCCCGACTCCGACTCAACGCTTCCTCTCGCCCCGCCAGGACATCATTCGCCATCCCTCCGATGACTTGACATCGCCAGACGAACGCTCTGATGCCTTTGAAACGGCACACACCTCGCCTGCTGCCATACCGGACGATGACCAGTTTGAGCCGGATCTGCCGCCCATCGAGCCATCGATGCTTGGCGCAATCCCCGAATTTTCAAGACCCGCAAAGTTTTTTGAGGACAAGGTACCGGACCACCCTGAACTGGCATCTATGGACAGGGTGATTGAGACTTTGCCTAGCATTGAGAGCGTCCCAAAGGACCAGGCCCGCACCGACGCCCTGCACGGATCTGCTGAGGAGTCATCCGACGAGGTTAGGAAGAGGGGAGATTGGAAGGAGCACAAGTCCATCTCGTCTGGAGCGGAGTTTGATCGCGACTTTTCTGCCCGGCCCGCGGCTGAAGAGACATCGGCTGCGTTTGTCGGGATTCCGGAATCAGCTATCGACAAGGACCATACTCTAGATACCGAATACATTTCTTCAACTGAGACTTTTCCCAAAGAGGTGCTCCCCCCTCAGGCGTTGGAGCCTGCCCTTGATGAGCCGGAGGAACATGCCTGGGTCAAGGAGAGCAAGGCACAGCCTGTGATGATCGAGGATGAGTCGGAACCGGAGCCGAAGCCAGAACGTTTTTCCCCTGGGCCGGAGCTTGAGTGGAACGCGGAGCCAGTCGCGGTTTTCGAGCCTCTGGAGGAGGTTTCTGAAGCACCGTCCAACGAAGCTGCTGTCGACATTGTACCTGTGTTTGAAAAGGTCACGTCTGACGTCATCGCGGAGTCAAGTCAGCGCTCAGTGCCCGAGGAGATTGAAGAAGAAATCGTCATCGGGCCTCTACCATCTGCAAGTCGCAAGGCCACCGAGGCCGCTCCCGAGCCAACCTTGGAGGAAGCAACGGAAGGCAAGGGATTTGAGCTTGCTCAACCTGACGTCCAGGTCTCTGGAGAAGAATACACGAGGAAGCCTGCGACATCTACAGTCCTTGAAGACTCTGAGGAATCTGAAGGGGAAGATGACTCAGATGACGAGGAGGACTCAGAGGACTCGGAAGACTCTGAGGAGTCCGAGGAGGAGGAGGAGGAAGAGGAAGAGAGGGTCAGACGCACTGACATGGCGGGCATCGTCAAGCGCGACGGCGACGAGGAGCGCATGGTTCATGACATGACGGCATCTATTGAGACTCTTGGGGCTGGGTCTGTGGTGTCGACTAGCTCGAAGAAGAGCAAGAAGAAAAAGAAGAAGAAGAAGAAGAGAAAGAGGAAGAAGAAGAAGAGCAAGTCGGCAGCCGCAGCAGCAGCAGACACTTCCCACGAGACTCTCGATCAACATCCTACAGAGGCAACAGAGCAGACTGCTCTGCCAATTGTGGAACCTGCTACTAAACCCACCTCAGATCTTGCACGAGTTCTTCCTGCAGAGGTCGATAAGAACGAGGGCGAAACTCTGGTTGAATCTGTCCCATCTCCGCATGTTGATGCGGTAGAGGTGGCGGAGGAAAACCCGGCTGACCCTTCCAAAGACTCCGCCGTGCCCGAGTCTACACCTGAGATTTCAGAAGAGCTCGCTCGCGATATTGAAGAAGAGCAGTCCACTAAGAAAGCACAAGACGCCGTCCCGACTCCTGAGCCAACTTCGCATGAAGGCTTAGAACTCGTACCTGAACACGGCATCCTGGCTGATACCGAAGAGCCGCAAACAATGCCCCCATCCACCGTTGAGGAGTCAAACAACGAGGAGCCGGGCGTCAATGACGAGCTTCAAAAGTGGGCTGCTACGGATAACGAGCTGATTCCGCAAGCGGACCGTGTTGGCGAGGACCAGATAGAGGTGGTTTTACCAGAGCTCGGCGACGAACAAGATGGTGAGAAGAGGAGGCTCCAAGTCGAGGATCAGGCTATCACTATCGGGGAGCCTGGAGTTCTGGCTCCCTTGCCCGAGGAAGTGCCTCAGCTAGAAGAGTCGCCGATACAGAAAGACTCGTCTGCTTCCACGGCTGTGGAAGTTCCTCTACCCACCGAAACGGAAGACCGTGACTCATCCGTCCAGGACCGAGAGGCTCTGGTGACGGATGATGTCGTTCCTGCTGCGGAGGAGATGCCTGTTGAATCTCCCATCGCGGTTGAAGAGACCATCGACTCGAAGTCCGAGGACTCGAGAGCTCCAGATACCCATGAACAGGCACCCATTCTATCAGATGGAACACCCTCAGCGGATCGTCAATGGGGTGTCACCGAAGATGAAACCCGCGAAGCTAACGACATGGTGGCTGAACCTGAGTATGAAGAGACTATTCAGCTGCCGACGATCATGGAAGAGCCTGGCCTTGAGGACGCAAGTGCTTCTGAGGTTGAGAACTTTGTGCCATCAGAAGCCGATCAACATGCTCCCGTCTACAGCGACCAACTCTCCCCCATCTTGGAGGAGTTGATGGAAGATTTATTGGACGAAGCGGCTGCTGTAGAGAAGTCTGAAGGTACGATACAACAAGACCATGAATCAAAACCAGGGCCCGCAGCAGACGAGCCAGCCTGGAGCATTGGTCGTTCCGAAGACCAATTCGAGCACCAGGACAGCGAAGAAGCTAGAGTACTGGAGTCCATTGCCGAAGAACCGGAAGACGACTCACCCGAGCCGACACCGAATGAAGGTGCGCCGCGAACCATCGAGGAGATAGCGAATGGCAAAGATACCAATTGGGCCTCCCCCGAGCTTCCTTCATTTACCTCAGAGATCTCTGAGCCACTGTTTTCTCAGGGCGATACTCCTTCTGAGTATCCTACTCAGCAATACTCTGAGAGTGCCGAGCCAACGCAGATGGGCGAGAGCTTTGCGGTCCCGGAGGAGCCTTTGCGACCACCACCTCCTGTACCGAACACTGTCAGTGAGGCCAGCTCCAAGGCGACCGAAGTCGAACCGTCAACTCCTATGGAACCCGCTGCTGATGCCCATTCCGAGAATTTCAATCAGCACTACCCTGATCCTGCCGAGCCAACGCAGATGGAAGAGAGTGTTGCAGTCCCGGAGGAGCCCATGCGGCCGCCACCTCCTGTACCGAATGCTGCTAATGACACCGCTGAACGCGAATTTGCAGCCCCAATGGGATCCGCTGCTGATGCTTCTCCTGAACACCCTATTGAGGAGTATCCTACTTCTGTTGAGTCACCGCAGATGGATGAGAATTTCGCGGTCCCGGAGGAGCCTGCGCGGCCGCCGCCTCCTGTACCGAATGCGGCTGATGAAGACAACGCTGAGGCGACCGACACTGAACCAGCAGCACCCATGGAGCCCGTCGTTGATACTCCGGCTCTAGAGCGATCAGGCGAATCTCAGTCAGCCAGACCAGCCCCTGATAGTGTCCTCTCGGCTGAAGAGCGTGAGCAACAAGACAAGCAACTCTCTACTTCGGCCCCCGAAACTAGCCTCCAAGAGCCCGAGTTAGATGAAGTTGTTCCACTGGAAGAAGGAGACAAGGGCAAAGAACGGATCCAGAATTTTACAGAGGAGGGCTCCATACACGACGGTGCTGCAGTTGAGCAACCCTCTACCGCTAATCCAGATGAAGGCGATGTGCCCCGGGAACCTCAAGTCACGCTAGACTCAAGCCCATCCGAGCAACGTGAAGAAGACAATGAGGCTCAGCATGACGAGTCCAGACCCCAGACAGAGGCTGAGCCTAATCTGCCTCAGGAAACCAGTCGCGAAGTGGATTTCGAACCGGAAATGGAGCATGGGGCTTTGGACGATGAACTGAAGCCGTCGACCGATATTGAGTTGAAGGTGGAGGGTTCTGAGGAAAAGTCAGGGGAGGCCCAGGCAGATGCCGCTGAATCCCCTGCTCACCCCGAAACTGCACCGTCTGTGGAAATCCCATCAACTCATGAGGAGGAGCACGGGCCCGAGAAGGAAGTCAATGACAACGTGGCTCTCGATACGGAGAAGAGTGTTGAGGACGCAGAAGCTTCTAGCCGAGCTGCAGCTGACTCGGCTGATACTATGGAGCCCTCAGTCGAAAGCCATCCTCCTCAAGAGCCTGATATGGCTCCTGAGCCGAATCAATCATCTGTACAGGAGGTTTCACCAGTTGCTTCACCAATCAGCCCAGAAGATGCAGATGAGAAAGGGGAAGTTGAGCACTCGATACGACCTGAAGACCCCGAGCGATTGGGTCTCGCCCAGGATGACGCTGCCGCTCCCGTAAGCACAGTGCCACATGACTCTTGCGAGGAATTTGAACGTGCTGCCGAGGCTGAGGATGCTTCTCCAAAGGCGGGTGAGCTACAGACTGAAGACGCCCTTGTACCACAGGAGGCTCAGATGCCGACGGAGAGGGACCTCGTTGAGCCTGCGAATGAAGCCCATGAAGCAGCTGTGGCCGAAGATCAGAATCAAATTGAGGCACCAGCCGAGACTATCAAGAATGACTCAATCAGCGCCACCTTGCCAAGTTCTGATCTGGTTATGGATACCGAGGAGGCACCGAACTTGGGCAACGATACTATCGTTGTCGACGAGGCACACTCTGAGCCTGCAGATGCTCCTGAATCCGATGTTCTCGAGACTACTATCGAGGCCACACCTGTTGCCAAGGAACAAGCATCGGACGAATACCTTCGAGACCAAAAGCCTGGCGAGCCAATGGAAGACATGAAGCCTGATGAGTCTGAGGCTGCGACGGTAGTTGAAGAGGCCAGCAAAGAACTTGGGACTGGACTTGATGAGGCTCAAGTTGCACCAAGTCCAGAGGAGTCTCAACGGGAACCGATATCAGAGACACAAGACGAGCCTGTTCTCGAGGAACCGAAGCCGGAAGAGCTACCTCGCGAGGAACCAGTAGCTGAGAAGGAGGCTCAGACTGATGTTCAAGCCGCTGAGCCTGACACAGCTCCGGAGTCTCAGGCCACGGGACCAACTCATGACGACAATTCGAAAGAGCCTTCTATGCCAGAGACTGCTGTTGTTGCAGAAAGCGAAGTGCCTGCTGATAGTGCCGCCACTGGCTCAGATCAGTTGCCACCAACTGAGGCAGTAATTGTGCCTACAGAAGAACCGTCGTCTACCGAGCCGTTTGATCAACACGATCCTAAGTCTGCTTTGACAACTGAGGCTTCCCAGGACTCCACAGAGAAACCTCGAGAGTCGGTCGAAATTGCTGATTCCGAGGTCCAACAGCCGAAGCCTGTGGAAACGAGGTCAGACTCCGTTAGGAGCTCATCAATGCATCTGACCGTCCCTGGGCAAGAAGAGGACTCTGGAAGTGAATACGGCAGTGATGACAGTTACGACGCTTCGTCCGTAGCTTCGGACATGTCATACCAGCGCGACTTCATGCGATCTGGATCCCTCGGACCGAATGATTCAACGACAAGACTTACTGGTTTCGAGGTGGTGGCGACTCCGCGTGTAGAAGGACATGCCCACAGAGACCGACACCGAAAGAAGAAAAAGAAGAAGAAGGGCAAAAGCAAGCACAAACGCAAGAAGTCGCGAAGCGGAAGCGATCCGTCATCCTCGCTGACCAGCCTCAGTGAATCGGTCCCGACGACTTCGAATCCCAGCCTCGGAAACAGCGTGCCTAGTCTCTTCGTGGAGCCCCCTGCTGACCAGCCTCAAGTCCCAGGACAAACGGAAACTGGGTCCCATGCGACCGAGAGAGGAGGCTCTGATGTTCCTGTGACTCAGCCTTCTACTGAGGATGATCTGTTCTCGAAGTATGCGGATGAGCCTGAGCTATCACCAGCCGAACAAGAGAAGCCGGCTGAACGCGCCGCCGCTGCATCACCAGACTTGGAGACTATCCTGGAAGAGGTCGTGGGAGAGGAACAACAGCCAAAGAAGTTAGCAGACTCGTCCGATGGTGAGGCTGCCGAGGTTCCACTCCCGTCTGAAAACGTCGGTCTGAAGCCCGCAAATGAACCAGAATGGAATGAACGAGAGGCTCCCGCAACAGAAGGGACTCAAGAACCAACTGCTTCCGCACCCCTGGAAGATGACTCGGAAACCAAATGGGACATGTTTACAGGCAACTGGGGCAACTCCTCCGGTAGGAAGGCCGAGTCTGGCCTTATGGAGAGTCCTGAGATTACTCGCGGCAGCAGAAAAGTAGCCGAAGACGCAGATGGCAGCTCAATGCATATCATCCAAGACGCACCTCTAGTCGAAGAGCCCTCAGAGATTTCGACACCGCAACGGATGTCAGCCGACATCCCAGATCACACCGCGAGTGATGAGCGTGCAGGATCGCTGTTACGAAGCGAGAAGCGAGCCTCATCCGTTCCCGGATCGCAATCGCCAAAGAAGGGCTCGAGGCCCGCTAGCCAAGGCGGCGAAAAGTCTGATCGGTGGTTCGGGTCATTCTCGGGGGGCATGTCTCTCTTCTCTGACCGGTTTGGGAGTCCCAGGAAAAAGAAGGCAAAGGACAGAGACAAGGATCCTATAGGGGTAGATGACAAGGAAGACCCCAAGGAGGAGTCTTTTTTAGGGAATCCAGCTCTTCGGCAAAGCGGTGACGAGAGGAGCTGGGAATCAAATCAGATGGACAGAGAGGACATGATTGACGACTTTTTGCACGGAGGCGGCCTCCCTACCACCCCCAAGAAGCGCAGAAAGCGTCATGATCCCTCTGCCGCGCCCACTACACCAAAGCGCAGCGAAAGCATTGTGGAAGCAGGAGATGACGAGGGTGCAATTGTGAGGAAGGGTGAGCGTGGAGGCTTGTTTGGAGGAGACTTGGTTGAGAGCCCGGTTCTCGAGGCGACGGAACCCCTCGGACCGTTTGAGCTGCTGCGACGGCATTCACAGGCGGAGGATCCTATCGGCGGACTGCTTCGGGAGGCATCAGAAATCTCGGTGCTCCCGCCAATGGACATGATGTCTGAACTATCTGATTACGAGCTGTCTGACTATAGGTTGTCCCCCCCGCGAGGGCTGCCCGCGGTGGAAGAGCAGCCGGAGGCAGAGGCCGAAGCGACAGCCTCTGAAGTTGGCTATTACAGAGACAGTGGGTTTGCCGGAAGCCCTCCTCCGCACAACCGATCAAGAAGGCACAGCATAAGCACGATACCTCTTGAAGAGGACGAGGAGAAACAGCGCGACAGCGGGGTCGAGGCAGACTGGATAGAAGCGGCCATGGCACAGCTCAAGACGCCCGAGCCGATCAGCAGAACACCAGACCGGCAGCCTCAGAGACGCCTACGACGATCCACGCTGGGCGGCCAAAGACTACGAGATTCCGCTTCGCTGCGGGAAGCGGCGCAAGACCCGGACAGGAAAACAATACCGGGAACGAGGGAGCGAGTGTTGACAGGAACAGGAACACGACCGGAGACCCCCTCGGGGCGATCCAGTCCTACGAAGAAAGGCTACGGGGCCATCGCCGGCATAGGAATCGCGGCACGGCTTGCGAGCGGCAGGACATCACCGATGAGCACTTCGACGGAACGATCCGACACCCTGCCGGCGCTGCGACGGTCAGTGACCTCGCCGGCGGCAGCACCGCTCCGAAGCCTGCGACGCGCAGTCAGCGCGCAGATCGGGCCGGGGCTGCAGCGCCCGGAGTCGCCGTCACTGGCGGTGCTGCCGGTGGTGACGGAGCAGCCGCGAAGCGTCTCAGACAGCCACATCCCGTCAGCCACCAAGCACCAGGCGGGAGAGGCAGCGCGGGCCGACCCTGGTCGAGGGACGCCCAATAGCGGCGTGGCGCGGCAGCGGACCCCTGAGCGGCTGAAGAGCTCGGGCGGCAGCACAGTGCGGTCGTCGTCGAACCCATCGCCGCCGCTGCTGCGACGGGCGGAGAAGCGCATGTCGCTGCGCCAGCCAAACATTGCCAGCAGCGACCACAGCGGCTTCGACAGCAGCAGCAGCGCGCCCCTTGCGACCAGGAACCCGAACCCGAGCACGACGTCGATCCCCAACATCAGCCCCATCCCGACGCCGTCCATTGCGGGCTCGATTGCAGACTCGATCGCGGGCATCCTCGACCCCAGCCCGTTCCCAGCCTCGGCCTCGTCGTCGCCGTCCAAGCCTGCCGCCGCCGCCAAACCGCCATCGAAAGCAGCGTCCGAGCCTCCGGTGGCCAACGAGGGCCGTGCGCGCGCAAAGGACAAGACGGACGTATACGTGAGTGCACAAGAAGAATTCCTTGAAGCTCTCGTCACCTGATTAGTGCCCGCAAATGACCTGATCCACCGGCGTGCATGAGAGCACAGTCTGAGTCCGAGTCTGAGTCTGAGTCTGTGGCTGTCTGAGCGCTGCTGCTGGTGGTCTTTTTTTTTTGTCCCTTCCTTGTTTTTTTTTTCTGCCTCTTTCCTCTGCCAGCCCAGCCACCCCGAAAAGGTGTCAGCGCTCTTCACCGCCCAGCCTCGTGATTTTCGGCACCCCCAGCAGCTCCGCCCAGCTGCAAAGGCCTCTCTCTGCATCTTCCACGGCTCTCTGGCTCACTTCTGTCGCCTTGCTGCCGACCGAAAGTGCCTGCATTGCATGCCGCGTCTGGTCATTTGCGGGCATCTCTGATACTTTTTATTTCTATTTTTGTCCTCTTTACTTTTTTTCCACTGTCACCTATAGCTTTCAATTCTACTCTATTCTTCTCTCTACTTGCCTCGTCTCTCTGCCGGTCTCGTCTGGTCGGCATCGCCTCGTTCTAACACATTGGCTTCTTCATAGGATGGGTACGGCGAGGGCCGCATCGGCTCGCCTCTATCTCCCACAAGGCCGCACAGCATGCGTCGCCGCCAGAGTATGCAAGTCCTCGAGCTCGAGGCCCGCGTCGAGCAGCTCATGGCCGAGAACCGGCTGCTCTCCGACGCCCGCCACAGCACCGACCAGCACCTGAGCCACCGCGTCGTCACCGCCCTTTCCGACCGCGACACCCAGATCGAGAGCCTCAAGCAGACGCTCAAGTTCCTCCGCGGCGAGGTCTCTCGCCTGACCGAGGTCAACGAGGGCCTGGCCAGCGCCAATGCCGAGCTGGCCAGCAAGGACAACAGCCGCTACGCAGACCTGCAGGTGACCGCCGGCCAGGGCGGCAACCAGGATGCCCTCATCCAGGCCCTGCACGAAAAGGACGCCCAGATTGCCGACCTGACGGCCAAGCTCGATGCCGCCAAGGAGCGCATCCGCGAGCTGCAGCGCCAGATCCTCGAGTCCAAGGCTGCCGACGTGCAGTTCCTCAACATCAAGGACGAGGACTATTTTGACCACCGCTGCCAGCAGCTCTGTTCCCATGTTCAGCAGTGGGTGCTGCGCTTCTCCAAGTTTTCCGATATGCGGGCCTGCCGCCTGACCAGCGAGATCAACGATGAAAAGATCATTGACCGCCTCGACAACGCCGTGCTCGACGGCACTGACGTCGACAGATACCTCAATGACAGGGTCCGCCGGCGGGACATCTTCATGTCCATGACCATGAACATGATATGGGAGTTTGTCTTTACCCGCTACCTGTTTGGCATGGATCGTGAGCAGCGACAGAAGCTCAAGTCGCTGGAGAAGCTGCTGACCGAGGTTGGCCCTCCGCAAGCGGTGCGCCAGTGGCGTGCCGTTACCCTTACCCTGCTCTCGAAGCGTGACTCTTTCAAGAGGCAACGAGACCTCGACACAGAAGCCGTGGTCCAGGCCATTTACCAGACCCTATGCAAAGTCCTCCCGCCGCCGTCCAATCTGGAGGCACAGATTCAAGCCCAGCTGCGGAGGGTCATGCACGAGGCCGTCCACCTCTCCATTGAGATGCGCACGCAAAAGGCCGAGTACATGATGCTGCCGCCTCTACAACCCGAGTACGACGCGGACGGTGAGCTTGTGCAGACCGTCCAATTCAATGCGTCCATGATGAACGAACGGAGCGGAACGCTCAAGATGACCAATGAGGAGCTTGAGGAACGCGGTGCCATTGTGCGCGTTGTCCTCTTCCCTCTAGTCGTGAAGAAGGGAGACGACGACGGCTCCAACGATGAGGAGGTCGTCATCTGTCCCGCCCAGGTGCTCATTGCCCGCAGCAAGCTCACGCGCCAACCCACGCCATCTACTGACGGGGGGAGAGCTTCTACGGGCACAGGCCGTCTGAGCGGTGGCACGACGTCTCCTGAGACTAGACAGGCCAAAGCTGTCTAAGAGAGCTTGATGCAATGCTTGCGTGAGCGAGTCTATTGATGATGATGACATTATGAGCTTCCTTTTTCTACTTGGTCTGTTTGGAGACAAAAGTTGAGCGAAGGCGATTTTCGTGGTTTCCCTTTTTTTCTTTTCCTTATTCCTTCTATTTTTTTTTTTTTTGGGTCTACATATACATTTGTTATTATGGCTTTGATCTATGACATGGTTTCTTGTTCTTCGTTCTGTTATGGCTTCTTTTTTTGTTGTTCGTTTGCTTATTGGATGACATGTGGGATAAGAGAGCAACATGTTCAGCATTTTTGATGATACGATATCTGTGGGAGACTCGTTGAGCTCCTGCAATGATGGATCATGACGATTATTCGATATACTCTGGGCTTTGTACTTAATCGACTGTGTTTTTTCTTCCAGACTGTGTTTTTCAAATCTCCTTTCTCATTCCATGATTTCTTGTTTGTTGTTCGCTTGACTTTATGACCATGTACGACTCTATTTGGAGTCGAAAGTATTGAGATTTGATCAAAGATTATGACTGAATGAAGGAAATTAGAAATCTCCACCAAATACACACTATGAATACAGCCCCCTTTCCTCTGCATCCAATCGCCGTGATGACCGCGTAGGACAAAGACCAGAAGCAGGGCGCACTGCGAGCCAAGGCAGCATCTAATAGTATCCTGCAGGCCGGAGCGAATTGGGTCTGCTTCCGTCCTACACGAGAGCGGGAAACTGCATGCGTCCAATGGGGGTGGGCGGCTGCATGCATTATTACTCTTGCAACAAAGTTATTTGCTCGTACGATTCAACAAGAGTGAAGAATTGGAGTTGGAGTTGGGGGTTGGAGTTGGGGGGGTTACGTTTGGGCATCGACGCATATATCTGTGCAGGTGTCGCTCCACCGGTTGGGTACCTCTATACTGCGATGCGCTCAATCTGGGCATATTTTCGATGCATAGATAGAAGTCTCATGTTCTAGATGTAGAGGGATGTATTATGTACTCTGATTTGCTCATTCATTGACTCAATTCTTTAGTCTAGAGTCTTATCCGTCCCTTGGCTGCAGATTAGCAAGTCTCGAACAGGCCACATAGGGGTGATTGTAGCCAGCCGCCCATTCTCTCCCGCGTGTATCAACACGCCTTCCGATCAAGCATCCGCCTCCACCCCTCCAGCGTCTTCGAGACGTCGCCGGCCTGCTTCTCGCCGTGCGTCTGCGCGATGATGCTCAGCAGCCACCGCAGCCGCGTCGTGCGGCCCCAATCCCCCCCTTGCAGGTCCCGCGTCACCACCTCGGCCACGCGCGCCAGCACCTGCGGCGAGACGGCCCTTGCCAGCGCCCGCTGGACGCTCACGCAGCGATGCAGGCGCCGGAGCAGCTGCCGCTCGTTGAGGTGCGGCGCTTCCATGTACCATTGGCCGATGCTGTCGACGAGCGCCATCTTGGCCTGGATCTCGCGGGCAATCTCCTCGGGGTCTGCGTCGGGCGGGGTGGTGAGGCGGGGGAGATCGAGCAGCTCCCAGTGCACAGGCCGTGTGATTTCGGGGTCTTTGATGATGCGCTCTAGGTAGGGGACCCAGGCCTCCCAGCCCCATGATGCAACTCGTGAGCCTTGGCCAAGGCGGGCGCGGATGGTTTCGTAGAGCTGCAGGGCCAGTCTGTGGTCGTCGCATGCCGTGGCGATGGTTCGAGCCGTGTCGATGGACATTCGAGACACTGGAAGTGAATGTACAGCGTCGATGAGGATGTCTGTCCGGTCGATGTCCTTGAAGAAGCCGTAAAGCTCTGTCAAGATGTTGTTTGCGCTGGGGAGACTATGAATTGCTGAGAATAAAGCTGCCCATCGCCCTGATAAGGACGTGTATCTGTAACGCGTAAGCTCATAGTGAGCAACAGTAGTGATGGCCTCTGCTGATTTCAGTCGGGCGGCTATAACCTGCCACAGTTGGGCGGATGCGAGGTCGATTCCATGAGACGCAATGAGCTCTCGGTAAGATTGGACGATTTCTTCGTTTGTTGCTGCGGAGTTGTATGCCTTGGCCATCAGCCACGCAAATCGTAGCCTTCGGTTCTCCTCCGAATCTCGTTCTCGCTTTAAGATGAGAGCATTGATTTCAAGATCCAGATCCTGCAATTGCAATGGGCTCAAATTTGAGAGCGCCTCTCCGGATTGAGATGCCACGCGGATCCAGTCCGGCAAAAGATTGCATTTGCTTGCTTGGGCGACAAGAGAGGATCGTGCCAAGGTCTTTATATCATCCATGGGGATCCGAGCACGGATGTCTGCCGGCATGAGCTCCAGTGCTTTTCTGAACAGCCTGATGTTCTGATAGCCGCTCCCCGATGAGCAAACTATAGAGACAAATGTAGTCCATAGATCCGGCAAAATGACGCTGTCGGGAACTTTGTTTTGGGCAATCTCAAGACCGGTCAAGAGAGAGCGGCGAACTCGAGCGATGAGCAAGTCTGCCATCTCCGGATCTGATATCCTGTCTCGTGCGGCCTGGTCGAGGGGCTCCATCAAAACGCGCAATGCTTCCACAGTGAGGTCTGCAGTTTCCATTCTGCGGAAGAAGCGGCGCTGAAAGGGCCTCAACAGGCGTTCCAACGCCTTTTCGTCCACGGTATCAAGCAAAGAGATATTGCGTCGCAGCGCTGACAGCACGCGGGGTACTTTTGCCGGTATAGGGGGATCATGGTACACGTATTCGGGTACGGCGGCTTCTGCAGGAGCCGCTACAGTTGCTTCTCCGGTTGATGCGCTGCAAACGATGTCATCCGCCGGCGGGGGCTGGATAAAGGGCTTGTCTGCATCAGACTTTTCGAGCCAGGAGATGAGGCTCTCGAAGAGCGCCGAGGGGCTGAGTGATTGTTTCTTCTTCCTTCGTTCCTCCGCTGTAGATGGCGGCTCCCACTTGCACTCGCTGGGAATCCAGGCAACGTCAAAGTGCCACAGCGGGGGATACGTGGCCGACGAGGGCATGATGCCCGTCATGTTGCGCTTGCCCAGCTGGCGGCGGCGGCTCTCGAGAGGCCCTGAGTGGGAGCTTATTCGTCGGCATGGCGCGGCGGCAGGGAACTGGCGGTGATAGCGGTCAATGGCATGGCGAAGCACCGCGTCCGTGATCCAGACGGCGGAGGAGGGCGACACGATTCCCCGAGGCGGGCATTGCGCCGCTGACCGCACTGACATGGCAGTGAGGCGGACGGCGGAGTCGGCGGGATAGAAGTGAGGGTTACCGACGAGCCATTGCAGTTGTGACGCCCGGGGGGTTAGGGAGCTGTCGCCGCCTGAAGGGGGGGGCTGAGAGCTGCTGCTGCTGCTGCTGCTTATTCGCGGGTCGTGAAGCTTCACAAAGATTCGATGCTCAATGGCGGGCTGTCGGGAAAAACTGTAGTTCCGGTGGGGGAGCCCTGGAGGTCGGTGTCCGGTGGTTATGTAATCAACCATCCGAAGGACTGCTGGCGGTCGGTGGAGATTCACTACAGCGGTGCTAGGTAGGCACGAGTACCTGCGATTTGCACGGACCACGCACCACAATGGTCGTACCCAAGGACCCTTTTCGGCATGTCATGTGCGCCGCGCACCAATCGGATTGCGGGCAGAGCGAGGAACAGCGTGGTGAGATGATGCGTCCTTCCAGAATATCCGAGCCCCCGTCATCAGCGTCAGTGGAGGCGGTACATACATGCGTACTACTACCTACTACCTATATTGCATCCAGGTCACTTCATATTGCATGCAACTGTACCTCGACAGTTTTAACATTAAACCCATCCGCTCCGCCTCACTCGCTCGCGCAAACCCCCCCGGCCTTCCAATCTCGGGGCTCCAAATGAGCTGACGGGGCCGATCCATGCATGGCCGATCCATCCTTGCATCTGATGCCGAGCAAGCTGCTGCTTCCAGGCCGTTGTCTGCATTCGCTAGCTCGCCAGTTCGCCAACCCGCTTTCGCTTGGCTCCCCTGAGCATCAATAAGAGACACTCTGCTTGGTTTCACTGAGCTCTCCCTGAAACCAATCCAGACAAAGGGCGCAGCCGAGAGGGCCACAGAGGCGAGACAGGGCGAAGTGCTGAAGAAAAGACATAACAAGGCTCGAAACAAAACAAACAACACAAAGGACAGAGTGACACACCAAGAGACAGGTAGTAGCTCAACTCGCCGCAGCTCACCGCATCACACACGCCCCCCCATCCCACGAGAACCACTGGAGCTCGCCCACAGCTCGCCCAGCCTGCCCTCGCATAAGCTCGTCGCATTCATAACCCCCGGGCGCATCATCATATCTTCGACCGCCCAGCTCGCTGCGGGCTCCATGGCTCTGCGTGTCCCTTCGTTGTTGCTGTCCAACCTCGAAAGTCGCTTATGAAAGTTGCTGATGGAGCCCGTGGTGTACGACGAGACGCCTCTAGCCGACTACCTCAGAGGTATGTTGCGGTGCCCGCATTGCTGGCCTGTCTCCCCCTGAGTCGCGCGCGTGTGCTAACAGCTTAACCTTGGGCGCTCAAGATGGAGGTAACCTGTCGGAGGCGGAATGGGCTCCCATAGATGGCACTCCCGATCACCGGTCGACGATAACGTCCGATTCCTCGCCGCCTGCGAGCCCGACTCCCTTTGCGCCGTCCGGCCGTCCATTGGTCAAGGCTCGATTCCGCAATGCTACCAGCAAGCCGGAGCCCGTCGAGCCACCACAGGCGCCGCCATTGTCGCTGCAGTCGCTGAGGAAAAGCTGCTCTGTATGTTGACCCTCGTCTGCTTGTTCGGAGGCTTCACCGCTTCCGCCACCACACGGCATCAGCTAACCTGGGGCCGGATTTTGCTCTGTATAAGGCCCTTCTCGCCGCGAGCCTCGATGGCGCAGACAACGCCCGCTTCCTCGAACAATTCAGATATACAATCATAGCCTCGCAGCTGCTCAGTGGCCACTCTCTGCCCGGATACCGCCCGCCAGCCCTCAAGTCGCCGGGCTCGACCGCGGACAACAATAACCAATCTCTGCTCTCGACCGAAGGTATTATAGTGTCCGTCGTCGGAGCGTTAGCTCTCGCCGTCTTCCTAAGCTGGGCACTGAGTAGTGCGCCATCGCATGTGACGAAACGACGCCTAATATTGGTGCTTATTATTGCTGCAGCGGCGGTGCTGGTAGGACAAGTCTTTGTGCGACGGCAGTGGCTCCGCTACCGCAGAGAGCAGGCCCTTGCTGAGATTTCCACATTTATCACGAACTCGCAAAACTTTGACAGCGCAACTGAGGCCACGCTCTCTCTTGTCCAGGAAGTCGAGCTTGTCTCGCGCGGATATCGAATGTCAGTCCTAACTTACATGCCTACCCCCCCTTGTCCTTGCCCTGGCCTTTTCAGCGCGGCTTCGTCAACCATGCCCGGTGAACTGACATCCTCATAGTAGCGTGCCTCTTGCGCCAGTCAGCCGACTCGAGGATCGTACTCAAAGCAGAAAATGCGTTCGGCTGCGAAAGGCGCTCAAGAATGCGTTTGCGGAGGTTCTTCAGACGTACAACCAGGTGTCGGACGTTGTCAGGGGCTTCGCCGAGCAGGTGGAGCTGGAAAAGTACTACGACATGTACGACGTGAGCGACTTCGACATTTCGGACTCCCGTCTGGGCTTCAACGCCGCCGAGTTTGACGACCTAGAGTCGCTGAGGACTCTGAAGATTCTGGCCGCGCGGTTCCACACCACGCGGAAGATGCTCCTTTGTGCCCTGTTGGCTTTGGATGCGAATGGCGAGGTCAAGGATCTACTGCGCTGGACGGCTGCGGTAGAGTCGTTGCAGAGCGTCAACACGTTGACCAAGTCTGTGTTTGAGAAGCTGCAAGGGATACTGAGCGAGGAAGAATGTGAGTGGCTATGTTTGCACTTTTTTTTTGGGATCCCCCTGGATTCATTTGTTTCCTTGCCTTAAACCGCCTTTGCTAACTTCAGTGTAGCATTCCCCTTGCCACCTACTCCTCAATTGCCGCTGACGCCGGGAAAAGAGCGATGGCGCTCACAGCTGCGCAAGCTCAATTCCATGTCTACGGGCATCCGAGGCTTGCAAGCCAAGCTCCACTTGCTGCGAGAAGAATCCGACAGAGCGCTAGATGACTCCAACGACATTTCCGAAATGGGACCCAATCTCATGTCGCAGTACGACTCTATCGGAGTGGACCTGAGAATGCTCATGGCGGCATGGGAAGAAGGCAGAGCTGCTCTGGCCCAGGGCATCGACAGGAACGAGAAGAGACTGTCGTCCATCAGCACGTTGCTGTCGCCTGCCAGCTCGCTCAGCGGGCTCACGACAATAGGCGAGGGAGGCACAGCAGACGCTTTCAAGGCTCTGACGGGTGAATCACCGCCGGCTTCGGACATCCACGACGGGGAAGACGACCAGGAGGTGTTTGAAGCGGTGGCCAAGCCGCGGCCGCGGAGCATGCTGACGCGAGAGGAGAGAATCGCAAAGGTCAAAGAAGAGAGGGAGCAGCGGGCATTGGCACGGCAGCAGATGGAGGCGACCAAGGGCATGCTGAGGGAGCTGGAAACAGTCATCAGCCTACGACCCCAGAAGCGAGCCAGTGCCCCTGTTGGCCCTCGCGTCTCCCTGTGAGCTCGGGACCTACAAGTCTCGACGACATATTTCCCACCTACACTTCATGTAACATGTACAGGCGCACGGTACCATACGTCACTCTTTTCCATTCTGCTTTCTTTTTTTTTTCCTTTCCGTCGATCGATTACTGCTATTTCTTTTCTGTATCCTTTTCTTTCTGCCTCCTTCAAATTTCGGGGCAAGACACGGTGTAACGGCTACGGGTCTGGGGCGATTGGCTGTTTTGCGTTTTGCAATTGTTGCTGCTCTGTTTTTGTTGTCGTCTTATAGAACCGATCACTTTGATCGTGGTGGAGGCGGTGTCCTTTATTTTTGTGTTTCCTTTGTGCTGGCTTGACTTGGACTTAGACAGGGCGTCTTGACGGGGATCGAAACGCAGCGCAATCTCTTGTATATAGCGGAGCATTTTGGCAGGATACCTCATCTCTCAGGCACGTGGCTGCAGGAATGCGATGGACGAGATGATGGGCAACCAAATTGACTGCGAGGATGCAATGTTTCGACGAAGGCTGTCTGGATTCTCATACTAAGGGGAAAAGCCTCATTGCAAGTAAGCACTGTCACTCTGATTGTGTCAGTAATTGTCCAAGTAAGGTATCTTCTTACTCTTGTCCTTCCATTCTGCCTCTCCCAATAGTGAGGTAGAAGAGCAGCCTTCAGTCATGCTTTGATGACGCCTAAAATTGGATAGTCTCTCTCTCTCTCTCTCTCTCTCTCTCTCTCTCTCTCTCTCTCTCTCTCTTCGTTTCAGTGTAATAAGCCTCTAGAGAAATGGATGATGAAATGGACCCAAAACCTGGGCGCGCTACCTCGAGTGTCAGCCTAGCATCTATGAGACAACATGTACCGCTGCCAGCACCAAAGGCTAGGTACCTACCTAGGCAAGGGGGGAAAAAAAGGTGCTGCCCCGCGTCAAGTTGGCGCCTCGGACCCAAGACGCGTCTCGACGCCGCCCACAAGCTTCGTGTTAAGTGCTTTTTCTGCCTGCTATTCCCTGGAGCTTCACCTCCACCAAAACCGCCGTGCATTTTGCCTTTTCTTCTCTTTTCCACCAACCAAAACTCAGCCACTCTGACTTGACTCTCTCTCTGTCTCTGTCTCTCTCTTTTGCTCTTCTACATTCGTCTCTGTCCATCAAGTCTTCTCTCTCTCATCTCCTTTCCCTCTTCTTGTCTCTTTCCACTACGATAATCACACATCTTCTATAGCCAGTACGTTTCGAATCCCTCTATTGCGTGCATTTCCTCGACGACGGCTGCTTTTCTTCCTCTTCCTCCTCCGCTACGACTTTGGGATAGAAAGAATCTGACACGCAGCAGAAATGTTGGAAGCACGGTTGGAACAGGCTAGCATCCTGAAAAAGGTAAAACTGACACGATCTCCCTTTGACGCTGCCTTGCTGACGAGGGAACAACCACAACCGACAGGTGGTCGACGCCATCAAGGACCTCGTGCAGGACTGCAACTTTGACTGCAACGACTCGGGCATCGCGCTGCAGGCCATGGACAACTCGCACGTCGCCCTCGTGTCCATGATGCTCAAGGCCGAGGGCTTCTCGCCGTACCGATGCGACCGCAACATCGCCCTCGGCGTCAACCTGACGTCCCTGACAAAGGTGCTGCGCGCAGCCCAGGGCGACGACATCCTGACGATCAAGGCCGAGGACGCCCCGGACGTCATGAACCTGCTGTTTGAGAGCAGCGGCGAGGACCGCATCAGCGAGTACGACCTCAAGCTCATGGACATTGACCAGGAGCACCTGGGCATTCCCGAGACGGAGTATGCGGCCACCATTACGATGCCGTCGAACGAGTTCCGGAGGATCTGCACAGATCTGGCGGCCATGTCAGAGTCAGGTATGGGAAGAATATACCTCTGGATGTCGGGGATGCTTCAAAGATCCGGTTTTAGGAGCTAACATGTTTTTTCTCTTTTTTTTTCCCCTGGCCAGTCGGCATCGAGGCCTCCAAGGACGGCGTCAAGTTCTCTTGCAACGGCGACATTGGCAACGGCTCCGTCACCCTGAGAAGCCACACCTCCATCGACAAGCCCGAGAACAATGTCGACATTGAGCTGACGGAGCCCGTCTCCCTGACCTTTTCGCTGAAGTACCTGGTCAACTTCTGCAAGGCTGCCGCCCTGTCCAACCAGGTCAAGATCTGCCTGTCCAGCGAGGTGCCGCTCTTGGTCGAGTACAACCTCTCTGGCAGCAGCTACCTGCGCTTCTACCTCGCGCCCAAGGTTTGTCTCTCAATCCCCTCCCAAATTATCACGATGCTAACGCTGTTGTATCAGATTGGCGATGATGAGTAAAGTATCTGCCCACCTGCGTTCTCAAACCCTTCAACGACCCAACATGTAATTTTCTTCGCAAACCACTGAACCGGACTTGTACTTGGGCAGCAACCTACTACGCGGCTCCTAGGGCACGGCTGGTCGACCACCCGACGCTGACAGAGTGAGGAGAGATGGATATCAAAAAAAATATTGTTTCACAGGCCTCCTTCTTTGTTTATTCTAATCACGATACTATGTAGCAAAAGAGAGAGAAAACAAAAAGGAGACGAGCACGCTGCTTGGCTTTAGTCTACCTCCCGACCCAAGATTGGACCTCCGAGAGATGTCTGACCGCGTTGCTCCTGAAAGAGTCCGTCTCTGTGCCCCTGCTCGGTCATGTCTTTTTTCGCTTTTCACCTTTTGACGCCAAAACTGGCCCTTGTTCGTCGTGCTTACATACATATCGATCGAGATTCTGACGCTTCATAGAAGCGGCTTAGAGCGGATCGTAGCTTCGGTTCTCGGCGGGGCGTTTTTCCTACCCCATACTGACCTAGTATTTCTGTCGTACTGGACGATGCTGCTGTCTCTGGCGCCCTTTTTTGTTGGCCTTTTATAAAAGTGCGCCCTGCTTTTTGCTCTGACTTTTGTCTTTCCATAGTGACAAAGAGGGCGTCAGCTATTCTGTGACCAAGCGGTGAGTTGCTGATGATTTCATTTAGTTTGTCTTGCCTTTTTATTATTCGAGTGCCCTTGAACTCCGCTGACGGCGGGACTGGTTCTGGCTCACACGGGAGATGCCAGTAATAATGCCACTACCATATTATTCATCAACTTTTTTCTACCGACTGAATCTCAGCGAGTCTGACAACCTCGATGAGATCAAGACGCCTGGACCAGGACCTATTCCCCTTGACTATCTATGCATATTGTTGCTCTTTTGGTTCAAAATTCGTTCAAATTCTGTTTCTATTCCAATTTTCTAATACGTGCAGTTAGAGCTTTAGCAAGGCACCTGTTGCTATCCTCCGCATATCGGCGCACACCAATAGTGTCACTATCTACTACGACTAGGTAGTAGTATTCCTTGAGTTGCACACACACACACACACACACCACACGATATAGAACGAAGAGCCATGTCTTCCGAGTTACAGCTCGCACCGAGAGTGCTGGCAGTTGCCAGCCATGTACGTCCTCAAAATCAGAGCATTCTACCATATGATGAGACTTTGACTGACGGTGCTCACAGGTTGTCTCAGGGTATGACTTGACGTGAAAATATCAAAAAAGCAAGCGTGGAAACGGCTTAGTTCCATGAGATTCCATCGCGAAGGCCAGCTTGAGTTAACGCGAGACCTCATCAGCAACGTGGGCAACAAGGTCGCCGTCTTCGTGCTCCAGTCACTGGGATTCGACGTCGCGGCCCTCAACACGGTGCAATTCAGTGAGTCCTCTCACCACCCAAACCTCTTTGACGGAGGAGCTTGACACACCCCCTTCTTCTCTCCCTTTGTCTGATCCCGGGTTTGAGCTACCCGCTGACTCAACGCCTGCGATTTTCTTTCTGCAACCCACCAGGCAACCACACAGGCTACAGACAATGGACGGGGACGAGGGCCACGGCGCAGGAAATCACCGACCTGTACGCCGGCCTGAAGCAGTCGTACCTGGACGACTTCGACATGATGCTGTCGGGCTACATCCCCGGCGCCGAGGGCGTCACGGCGGTGGGCAACATCGCAAAGGGGCTCAAGGAAAAGTTTCGGGACGTGCCGGGCAAGTTCTTCTGGGTGCTGGATCCCGTCATGGGGGACAACGGCAAGCTGTACGTGGCGCCGGAGGTTGTGCCCGCGTACAAGGCGCTTCTGCCGTATGCGGATCTGATACTGCCGAACCAGTTTGAAGCCGAGTGAGTTTTTCCCTCATATGAAAAAAGGGGGTCCCTCTGCAAATATCGATCGGTTTCGGGGATGTCGTTGCTGATACGACCGTTGTTTTTCCCCCGCCATCTCTACAGGCAGCTCTCCGACGTCAAGATTGTAGACATGGCCAGCCTCACGCAGGCCATCCAGGTCCTGCACGAAAAGTTCCGCATCCCGCACATCATCATCACCTCGGTCAGCTTCACCACGCCCGACCACCCGCCGTCGCACCTCTCCGTCATCGGGTCCACCATGACCTCGGACCGCCGCGCGCGCACCTTCAAGATCACCTTTCCCTCCATCGACTGCTACTTCTGCGGCACGGGCGACATGTTTGGCGCGCTCATCACGAGCCGCGTGCGCGAGGCCGTCGAGGCCGTGCCGGGGCTGACGGCGCGCGAGAGCTGGCTCAGCGATGATGATGTTGCGGCGACGGAGCTGCCGCTCGCGAGGGCCGCGGAGAAGGTGCTCGCGAGCATGCACGAGGTGCTGGCCAAGACGAGGGAAGCGATGCCCGCCGTCATGGATAGGACGTGGGCCTCGATGGGGGCCGATGCGGATCGGGGCGATGAGAAGAAGGCGCATTATGTCAAGTCCAAGGCGGCGGAGCTGCAGCTGGTGACCAACTTGGACAGCTTGCGGAGCCCGACGACGACGTTTTCTGCGACCAAGATTTAGAGATTGGGAGGAGAGGGGAAAGGCGTGTGGACTGCTGGGAATAGATGGGGACGGCGAGCGGGCGGCGTAAGAATGCCCTTTCTTGTTGCTTTTATACTCTTTTTTTATATCTGTTTCTAGGTAGCATCCGTGTCCTATATAGACCTGAATGGGGGACTGCTGTCTTTGTCCTTCTAAATGCCCCGAGTCCCGGCCGTCCTTTGAATCCGCCCTATGCCATGTTGTATCATTTTTCATATTTCATATCATGATCGCGTGTTACTTCCTAGGTAAGTCTGCTTAGTTCTTGCCCGTGCTTCCAAAGCCACCGGCACCCCGAACGCTCTCCTCCAGCTCCTCCACCTCGACAACGTCGGGCGTGACAATCCTCTCGAGCACGAGCTGCGCGATCCGATCGCCCTCCTTGATCTCGTAGTCGGCGTCCGCGTGGTTGAACAGGAGGACCTTGACGGGGCCGCGGTAGTCGGCGTCGATGACGCCCGCGCCGGTGTCGATGAAGTGCTTGGAGGCGAGGCCCGAGCGGGGAGCAATGCGGCCGTCTGTGTTGCACATTAGCCATCTCGTCTCGTCCATTTTGCTGTGCTATGCTTCTTCTTCTTCTTCTTCTTTTTTTCTTTTCCATTTTCTCCCATACACGGCTTCAATGGGTGCTGGCATCGTTCATGGATGGGACTTACACGTTCCAGCTGGCACGGCAATGCTAATGTCGGTATCGACAAGCACCTTTCCCCTCGCCGGCACAACCGTGTCCTTGGCAGCGTACAGGTCGTAGCCCGCGGCAAAGGCGCTGCCGCGGGTGGGCAGCCTGGCCTGCGGCGAGAGCTTCTTGACGTGCAGCGGGACGGCGGCCTCCATCACGGACATTGTGGGATTCGTAATGGTGGGAGTAGTGGTGGCGGTAGTGGTAGTAGCAGCAGCAGCAGCTGGCGCTTCTGCTTCTTTTGTCTGTTCTTCTGCGGGAGGAGGTGCAATTGGGGCGTCTTGGGGGGCTTCCGAGGCGTCGGCGGCGTCGGTGTCGGTCCTGAGGCGTTTGGCGGGAGGAGAGGTTGTGTCGTTATCGGGCGCTGCTGAGGACATGGTTTTGTTTAGACTGATTGTGAAGATAGTTGAGTGTAAAGGTTGAGAAGAAGCTTGTACAAGGGCAATGAGAAGATCAAAGAGAGTAGTAGCGAGAGCAGAATAGAGGACAAGATGATCGATCTGAGAGGAGGACAGGGGCAGTGATGAGTTCAAAGGTAATGCAATGCGCTGTTCAGCTTACCTGCTGGTATGACAAGGATTAGTTGGTAGTAGTAGTAGTATGCCAATGGCTGGCTGGAGAGGAAGTCGGTGAGAGTTTGTTGGACGGGAATCGAGCTTGATTGGAGGGGCGACGCGACGCGTCCAAGCTTTTTGTGGTGGGGGAAAGGAAAAGAGGCGGCCAATTGAGGCGGGGCGGCAGATACGACAGTGCAAGAGGATCAGTCCCTTGCATTGAGCGACTGGAAGCAGCTGGACATGATTCGTTACGAGATGTCGCGTATGTGAAGTCAGGCAGTAATTGATCATGATCACGACAGGCACCAGGGGCGGAAGGCGGTTGGTTGGTTGCGTTGATTCTACAGTATCAGGCACGGGCTAATCGTCCAGCTCTCGCCCAAAATCAACCAGCCGAATCTTGGTCGCATCCCGCGGGTGAAACTGCGCGACATGCGACCGGATCAAGAACCTCGCTGCCGCCGTCTCATACGGCAGCTTCACGTATGCGTCCGAGCTGCTGCCCTTGGCCTCGACCAGCCGGTTGAGCAGCTCCTCGGTCAGCTGCCGCATCTCCGCGCCGGCAGCCGAAGCCGCGTCCCTCTGCTGCTTCTGCTTCGTCTTGCGGCCCTGACCGCTCCCTTCGCCATTGCCGTCGCCGTCGCTGGGGCCCCAGATGTCGTCGATCCGGCGCTGGTTCTTGTCCTTGTTCATCTCGCCCTTTGGCTTCTTCAGCTTGCCCTGCGCGTTGAACCCGGCGGCGAGATCGTCGGCGTCAATGTCCATCATCTCTCCCACCACGGGCCCGCCCAGGGCTTCTGCCGCGAGCATCACCGCCAGGTGTTCGTCGATGAAGCGGTTCAGCGCCTTCATCAGCTTGCTCGTCTCCTTGTTGTAGTATTGCCTCTTGTGCCGTAGCTCTTCGATGCGCTTGCGCGCCTCGTCCTCTGGTCTCGTGGTGACCCCCGAGTCGACCTCGGCCCGCAGAGTCTCGATCCTCTGCTTGAGGGCTTCGTTGAGAAGCTGATGGTCCTTGAGCGCGGCTTCATCGTCCTTCAGCCGCCTCTGTTCTCGCTCGGTTGCCTCTGCCTGCGAAGCCAAGAACGCCTTGGACTCCTCGATTGTTCGATGCGTCTTGCGCAGCGCCAGCAGCGCCGGCAGAACCGATCCCGGGAACGGCAGAAAGGGCTCGGAGTTGGTGACATCGTCAAAGGCCAGCCTGAGGACCTGGGCCTGGCCAGCGGCGGTGCTGGGCGCCGGGTGCTCTGCAGAGCGCAACTGCGAGTGCATGCGTTAGACGGCGGTTCGATGCCCAAAAGTACCCAGTTGCGATGCAGCGCCGAGCGCCTGTAGAGCTGCCCCAGGTTATAGCTTACCTCGTCTAGCTGGGCCTCATAATCGCGGACTTTGCGCTGGAGCTCTTTGAGCGTGTGGTCGATGTTTGTGGCATGAGCCTGGGCTTCCGAGCTGCTGCGCGGCCTGTCCTCCATTGCCTGGATGATTCCAATGCGCGTGATTCCTTCGTTTGGCGAGCCTCAACACAAGCCACAACCCAGAGCGTTGCGCCGTCCGAGCGACACAGTCTGCGAACTGTGTGATCTTCGCCCTTGCAGCTGCTCCAATCACAGTGCTGATGCGGCTCGCGGCGATCACGCATCGCCGTATCATGCCCGGGCCCCATGCTCTCCAGGCTCCCGCACTGTGCAGCCCGTGCCGCGCCTTGTTCTTGGCAGCAAAAAAAGTGTCGCGCATTCTGTCGCCCAATCAGGCGCGTCACGTGACGCTCCAGCGGGCAGCTGCCGCCAGGGAGGCGTGGGCGCTTTTTGCCGACCCCGAACTTTCTTCCTCCAACCGCTGCTTTTCTCCTCTCCATCATACCTCCTGCGACGCGCCGCCTCGTCGCCATCGATTCGATCGCACCAGCGTCTGTGACTTGAGCAAATCGCCAGCATCCGCTCCCGCGTCCCAGCGCCATTTCGCACGAGTGCTCGTCCGCGTGTTTCTCCTGCTGCCGTGGTCTCTGTTCCTGTTCCTGTTCCTGTTCCTGTTCGGTCGGGGGTTTGCTAGGACTCGCCAGCCTGGCCTGGAAAGCAGCATTCGCGGTTCTTTCGCCTCTTTCCGCCTTTGGTCTCGGCCCTACCTAGCCGGAAGCCGCAGCGTTTGGCAACCACGCGCAGCCCATCGCAATTGTCGAGGCGACTCTCTCGGAATACTAACCCTTACCGCGCGAGGTGCCGGTTGGACTTGCGTACGTGAGCGCCAGCTTCGAGACTCGTCGGGTCTTGCCAGGTGGAATTCAAGGTTTGAGCTGAGCGCATTGTCTCTTCACTCTCTACTTTCGAGGCACCTGTCCCAGCACCGATAATTCGCTACACCAATCCTCTCCACCGTCCACCACTCCGTCTCCAGCCACTCAGTTGTCATCATCGCCCTTTCTTCCCGTTGGCCATTTGCGCAGTTCACCGAAAGATTCCCAGCAGCTCGACACCTTTCTGCCAAAGCTCTGGATCATCTAGACGCGGAAGAAGAGAGAGTTCCAGCCCTTTGAGAACACAGCTCCTCCCACCATCTACTCCGCTACACACAGCCTGGGCAGCGCCCTCCTTGCGACGCCACCAAAGAGTCACATCACGAATCCTGCATACACGAGACAGCCGATCCTCTCTCACCACCGATTCCAGCCACTACACCAGCACGTTTTCCTTCGAAAACCCCCTGAGTGTAGATAAGACAAGATCGAAAACAAAGAAACTTTTGAAAGAAAAAACCAAGAGAACAAGGACGCAAGGTCTTTGGCCATCGCCCGTTAGACGATCTCTAATTCGTCCCACTCTCTCTGTGACCACACTGTTCCCTCCGCCAGCGGACAGAATTTCATTCTCAAGGACGACGCAATGTCTACCTCACCCCCACAACCGACTCAATCGGCCAAGCGCCCTCTTGAAGAACCCTCCTCGCCCTCCCGAGCGACGGACCAGCCCGAGGCCAAGCGACCAGCCCTGGACAAGACGTCCAAGAGCGATGAAGAGACGGAAAAGCTGGACCTCCCGCCTGAGCTGCCTGTTGAGTCCGAGGAGGAACAAAACGGCGAGGACAATGCCAATGCCAATGGCGTCGCCGGTACCGAGTCATCTGTCACCGCAACCGAGACGGGCACCGACGTCAAGGCCACCCCCACTGTAGCAATCTCGACGGCATCTTCCTCCGCCGTGGCCGCCTCGGCTGCCGCTCACGACGAGAGCTCATGGATCCATATTCGAGCAGTCATCTCTAGTCCGGAGGCTGCCACCATCATCGGCAAGGGCGGTGAGAACGTGTCCAACATTCGGAAAATGTCCAATGCCAAGTGTACCGTCAGCGACTATCAAAAGGGGGCCGTCGAGCGTATTTTGACAGTTAGTGGCATCGTTGATGCAGTTGCCAAGGTACGTCGAAGAAACATCACCCCTTCTTCCCCTTGTTTCTGCTTCCCCCCCCCCCCCCTTCACACACCCCCCGACATGTGGTGAGTGCGAGTCTAACCCTCTGCTTTCTCTTCCTCTTCCCTCCCACGATAGGCCTTTGGTTTGATTATCCGAACACTGAACAACGAGCCCCTCACCGAGGCGTCCACTGCCTCTTCCAAGACCTATCCCCTCCGCCTCTTGATCCCCCACATCCTGATCGGTTCCATCATTGGCAAAGGCGGTTCTCGTATCCGAGAGATCCAGGAGGCCTCTGGCGCGCGGCTCAATGCTTCGGACTCTTGCCTCCCCATGTCGAGCGAGCGCTCCCTCGTGGTGATGGGCGTTGCCGACGCCGTGCACATCGCGACGTACTATGTCGGCAGCACTCTGCTCGAGCAGCTCAACGAGCGATTCGGCGGACCGGCCGCGTCCGCATATGCGACCAGGAGCGGTGCTCCCGTGGGATCCATTCCCGGCGGAATGCAGGTCGTGCCCTACAGCCCGCAGCCGGCATCGGGACACTACGGGCGTGCGGAGAACTACGGCCGGCACCAGGAACGCCGACCTCACCACATGCCTCCGGCGCCGTATCCCCAGCCGTACGCCCACGGCGCCCCTCACGGCACCCCGGCCATGCCCATGCAGTACGGAGCGGGCCAGCCTGCCGCCTATGGAGCGGCCGCGCCTCACGTGCAGCCTCACATGGCGCCTCACACCGGTCCCCAGGCGCACGGTGCCCCCCAGGGCCAGCCCATGCACGCCGGCATGCCCGGCGGCCCCATCACGCAGCAAATCTACATCCCCAACGACATGGTTGGCGCCATCATCGGCAAGGGCGGACAAAAGATCAACGAGATACGGCAGATGAGCGGCAGCGTGATTAAGATTAACGAGCCTCAGGACAACAGCAACGAACGGCTAGTGACGATTACGGGCACGGAAGAGTGCAATCGCATGGCGCTTTACATGCTGTACTCTCGACTTGGTGAGACGCAAAACCGATCCACGGGAGCCTAAAGCTTCTAACCAGTGTCGAGCGACAGAATCGGAAAAGCACCGCGTTTAACCACTTACAGCGGCGACGATGGACGAGGCAAGCCGATGCAAGACGAGGCAAGGAAAATTGGGTTGGGATCAACTGACGCACTATGTAACGCGCTGAGAGGTGGGGGGGTCAATGGCCATTGCGGTATGGCAGCAACGGATACTTGAAACTTTTCTATTTTTTTTCCTCTCTTGTTCTCGATTTCTTTTATCTCTATTCTGATTTCATTTCGCTCTTGTCTCCTCAGTCATTTCTTTGGCAGTCTAGAAATGGAACTTCTCTATCGTGACAGGGGCGGAGTCTGGAGTGAGCGAGGGAGGGGCGGAGAACGTTGAGCTTGGGCTGGTGCCCTATGAGATTCTCGATGGCCCTGAAGATTGACTCTATTGTGATTGATGCTATCAGATTTTTGGAGTCATACGAGATGAGCCCTTATAAAAAGGGGGATACATCATTTGATACGGTGGCCAAGGAAGCAAGGAAAAGTACGAATGCTCATAATCATGAATTGTTTCTCTACCCTTGTTCATCCTCTCTTATTGCACAGGGCGATTTCCCTTACCCTCTGCTGCCCGGGTGTTTGGGTCATTTCGATGTAAACCGCTTGTGGACACTCATTCTGTGACAGCTAACAGGTCTACAACTTCTTGAAGTTGACGTGGAACTGCGAACGTGAATGTTAGCATGCTTGGTCCTTTCGAAATATGAAATTCCGGGACTTTAGGGAAAGGGCAAGACCATTCGTACCATGCTGACGGCTTTGCGGCCTGATCTGATGAGATGGATGTTGTTGTCAATCACTAATACTGTCAGTCCGTTTACTTTATTCTCATGGTAACCAACTCCTCATACAAGGGCGGACAGCAAAGAAACAATAAAAGGCTCACCTGTTCCCTGGCCCTTTTGTGCCTCGTGGTCGGCCTTTGAGTTCCAGCCCAACATCAAGACGACCGTCTTGGGCTCCGGCTTCTCAACGCCGACGCATTTCACGGGAACAAACTCTGCCGTGAAGCCGCCAAAGAGGCCAGGCAGACTAGCGCTGGTGATGGCCTTTACGAACGGATTGAGGCGGTTCTCGAGGTAATCCTCGTCTGCGCCGAAACTGAAGAATATTTCCGTGCAGGGAGCGCCGAGCGGGATGGCTGCGTCTTGACCCGAGTTATCTGATGATGATGATGCTGAGGAGGAAGATGGAGAGCTGGAAAACACGGAAAGGGTTTCGAGGGATGCGGTAAAGGAGGATTGCCAGGTGGGACTCCGGACGTTGAAGAAGGCGTCGCGGGAGGCCTGGGAGGACCAGCGGGTGACGGTGGTGTACGTCGTGGGGGACTCGATGTGAGGGCCAAAGTAGATGGCGATGAGGCCCGGCGCGGAGGAGAGGAGTTTGAGGCTGGAGATGAGGGTGGGAGGAGGGACGGGGGAGTTGATCTTGAGGGTGAAGGTGGAGATTTCGATGAGTTCGGACATGGTGATGTGTGTTTTTTTTTTCTTGTTTCTTTTTTGTTTGTTGTTTTGTTATAAAATGTGAGGGGGGATGTTTAAAGATGATGAATGTTTATGGGGATGCTCGTTGAGGTGGTATTGGAGTGATGGAGAGTGGCTTCACTTATACGTCGGCGGCCTTCCATGAGCCCCGCAACGGATTCGAAGCCACACTTGGCACTCATGAACTGATGTGATGTGATGTGATCCAAGGTAAGGTAAGGTAAGGTAAAGTAAAGTACACGTATGAAGGGGGGACACGGCCATCACGTGAAGTCCGTCCTACTGCTAGGTCTGAAAGGTTATGCATGAATGTTATCCCGATAAGCTCGAGATGCAGCATTCCATCGCAATGACGCAAGTGAAGCTTCCTTCCTATGTGAGGAATCTCGGCAGTTGAGGGAAGCTGCTGGCTTGGCGTGTCCTGCCTGCCTGCCCCCAGCTGTCAGTCCAGCAGCGTCATCACGTTAGCGGCGTTTGTTGGCTCGGACAAGTACCTTAGGTACCTTACCATGTACCATGTACCTCTCTTTTGCTTTCAACCCTTGATGGCCTCAAAGCTCGGGAGCTCAATCCAACATCGTGAACCTGCCATCTTCACCGTTCATCACTGCGACAGTGCAACTGTCACGAGCAGAGCATGCCATCATCAAGCTGACGCATCGGATCCCTCAATTGGCCGTTGACGAAGCGTTTTTACTGTCACGACAATTACACCATTTCCACCATATTGAGGCAGGGCTGAGCTCCGTCAAGCTGGCCTCAAGACGGTGAACCCGGAGCTCCCACAACTCTCCTCGCCCACCACATCACACCAGCATCGCCCTTCTCTCCCCTAAACAGCCAGACAAACAGCATCACAGAGTCATGGACCCCTCAGCCTCACAGACCACCAACCCCCCCGTCACCCAGATCCGCCTCCTCACCCTCAACTGCTGGGGCCTCGTCTACATCTCCGCCCTCCGCACCCCTCGCCTCGCGGAAATCGGCCGCCAGCTCGCCCTCCTCGACCCTCCCCCGGACATCGTCTGCCTCCAGGAGTGCTGGGCCCAGGCCGACTACCGCGCCATCCGCGAGGCCACCGCTGCCGTCCTGCCCCATGGCAAGTTCTACCACAGCGGCGCCTTTGGCGGCGGCTTGGCCCTGCTGAGCCGCTGGCCCATCGAGGCGAGCTCAATGTTTCGCTATCCGCTCAATGGCCGGCCGACGGCGTTCTGGAGAGGCGATTGGTACGTCGGCAAGGGCGTGGCGTGTGCCAGTGTGCGATTTGGGCCGGGCCAGAATGATGTAATTGAGGTCTTCAACACTCATGTAAGCTTCTCTTCACCTCTTCTCCCCCCCCCCCTTTTAACATCAGGCATTCATACTAACTCATCTCAGACTCATGCCCCTTATGAGAGGCCCCCCAATGACACCTATCTCTGCCATCGCACAGCCCAGGCATGGGAAATCTCAAAGCTCCTCCGCGCCGCCTCCCTCTCGGGCCGCCTCGTCGTCGCCCTGGGCGACTTCAACATGACGCCTCGCTCGCTCACCCACCGCATCATCACCGCCCGCACTCCCCTCCGCGACACATGGCGCGTCCTCCATCCCGAGAGCTCACTGGGCACCGCCAATGACCCCGTGGAAAAGGCGAGAGGCCTCCCCATCCCTACCGCCCACTTCAATCTCAAGGTCAACGGGTCGACCAGCGACGGCGTCTACAACACCTGGCGCTGGACAAAGGCTGCCCGCGAGAAGCTCAAGACGGACCCCTGCCCCGTCGACCCCGACAGCCCAGACCCGCGCGGCAAACGCCTCGACTACGTCTTTGCCTCCACCGGTCCCTTCCCTCCCGATGCTCGCAACCCCAGCGCGCCACCCCGAGGCTGGGTCGTCCACTCGGCCTCCGTCGAGATGACCCAGCGCCATCCCCAGCTCAACGTCTCCCTATCCGACCACTTCGCAGCCATGGCCACCCTCAGATTCCACGAGATATCACCATCCTCCCCCAACTCCGTCCTGGACGCCCAGCTCCTCCCACCGCCAGACAACGACCCCGAAAGCGCCAGCCTCTCCCTCTCCGACTACGACGAGATCCTCGCCATGACGCACCAGTACATGGCCCGCGAGATTCGTCAGCGTTATTGGCGCGGCATCCACTTCTACGCCTCCGTCCTCGTCTGGGTAGGCTGCCTCGTCGCCGTGTGGTTCAGCCCCCGCAACTTCGTCGCCTTCATCCTCATGCTCGTCGCGAGCTTGGGCCTCACCACCGGCGTCGTCGACGGCTTGCTTGCCCTGCTCTTCTTCTGGTCAGAGATTCGAGCTCTGAGGGAGTTTGAGTGGGAGATTCAGACTGCCAGGGCACTTGCTTTGTCAGAGCACATCGGTTCCCAAGATCCAGCTACGAAAACAGATTGAGTGGTAGTTGATTTGACGCGATTCAAGAAAAATACCTAATCTAGTACTTCTTATGGCCAAACTCCAAGTCAATCAATCATATATGCCATAAACTATCCCGCTCGACGTTGGAAAGAACGAGCGCAAAGGATCCGAGACCAGCTCGCCGGTAGTAGCACGATACGCTATTGCAGGCACGAGAGATCAGAAGCAAAGGGCAGTTGTAAGATATACCAATTAACTCTGTTGTATCCACTAAGCCTGTTGTGTGATACTCTCAATCGGGTATTTTATGCGCTGCTACAACATCCGTCACCTTCGTCTCCCCATTTCACCAAGTTTCGTGCTCCGTCAAGGGATCTAGGCTTCACCCCCACCAGCCTGAGCCATCATCAACAGGCTTGTTTCCTCACGCTATGCCATGCGTAGCCCATAAAGGCGCTTTGCTTTCTCACCTCCATGGCCGTGCCCTTCATGCTTTCGTCACGTAGGACAATGTCTCTCGGTCGCTTGGGTATTCTTCGCCCGTATTCTCTCATGAATCTCTTCAAAAGCTCCTTCTCTTCCTCTGCGAATGCAGTCATCGAGTCGATTTCCAAGTCTCTGCTGCGAAGAGCGCCAGAGTCGTACGGTATGTTGATGAGTCGAATCGCCACGTTCTGTACGCACGGCCGAAATTCTCGCAGGATCCACCGCACCTCTTCGTCTGTCAGCCCAGGCTTTTCCGTCGCCGAGTCGATTCGGTCATCAAGCGGTTCCGATTCGTCGAAATAGTGAGTGTCTTCAAGGCTGTTGATGCGGGGGACAAAGGGTGGCGCCGTGTTCTGCAGATTGTCCCACGGCACGCTTCTGAAGAATCGATGCGCCTTGATGTCCTCGGCATCGTCAGGGAACACGTATCGGCCATGCATATCCGTCGGCATCGCTGCCCCTGACTGGCTCTGGTCAAGCATCTGGTATCGTTTAGAGCAAAGACGAACTTCTTTGTCTTGGATCAAGCGGTAAATCAGGTCCTTGCATTTGTCACTGACCAAAGGTCTGACAGGGAACCGGAACCTCTCTTTATGGGCCTTTGCAGAGTATTAGCCCCTCATCATCACCAGCGTCGTCATCAAGCAGGCAAGCACTCACCAAGATATTTTGTTTTGTAGGCTTTCTGCCTTCGTCTGAAAGGAATGGGGTGTGTCCATAGAGACACTCGTACAGAATGATGCCGATGCTCTACTAGTCGCATCTCCCGTCGTAGTAGGTCTGATAGTTTTGTGCTTGAATCACCTCGGGGGCCATGTATTGGCTTGTGCCAACGACAGAGTTGGCTCTCGTGCGGTTACTGTACATATTTCTCCATCCCAGAACAGCAGTAAGGTCTCGATCATGTCCAAAGTTCTGCTCGTCGTGTCGTCCTAGATCAGCCGTCAGAGCCTGCGCTTTCTCGACGCGCGCCTGAACGCTTTTGCCGTCTTCTTGATCCCTCTCGTCGCCTTTGGCGTCGACATTCAGTTTTCGCAAGAGCGAATATCGGTGATAACTGTAATACGAGGCGTCATGGGGCCATTGACCGTCAAATGCCAGCCCAAAGTCGGATATTTTGAGATGCCCGGAGCTGGATATAAGAAAGTTGTCGGGCTTAATATCACGGTGGATGAAACCAAGACGATGGGCTTCCTCAACGGCCAGAATCATTTCAGCAATGTAGAAGCATGCCACAGCCTCATGCAAGATGTTTTCCCGGATCAACAGACCCAAAAAGTCGCCCCCGGGCATGTACTCCATGACAAGGTAGAGGCTGGACATATCTTCGAAGCTTGCAACCAGCGGCACGACCCTATCGGAAGGAGGTAAGAGGGATATTAGTCTACCATTTTCCATAAGGAAACACGAGATAAGTCAAACATGCTCACCAGTTGGATCCTTCACAAGAAACGAGAAAATCCCTCTCGGCGCGGAGATGTCCCTCCTGGCTGCTTCGAAGCATGTCCGACTTCCGTATGACTTTCATGGCATACACTTGCTTCGCAAAAGTATATGGCGAATCTGACTTCTCGCGCACCAGCCTGACCACTCCAAAACTGCCTTTGCCTAGGATCTTTAGAGGTTCATACTTGGAGGCAAAGGGGCTTGCGTTTTGTCGTTTGGCTTGAATCGTGCATTTGGACTTTAAAGCTCGTATGTCCCTTAAGCGACAGGTCTCGGAGTGATAGAAGTTGCTGTAGTTGATACCGCTGCTGCCCGCAGCTAGGTTCTTGGAGTCAAAAAGCCCATCTTTGAATTGCTGGTGTGCAAATTGCTGGCATCGATTGGAGCGACGCTGCAACTCGCCGCAAACCTCGTTGAAATGAGT